GATAGTACAGACTTTTAAATTCCAAATTCGACAATAGTGACATCTTTCATTCATTTTTTATACTTATTATACAGGGTGTTTGAAAATTATCGACTAATCGATCACGAGCAGATAGAACGGACCGAATTGAATCGAAAAATCTTATACCATTTTGTAGGTTGCGCAATAGTTAACGAGAACGCCTAGCAGGCCATCCCCACTCCCAGCGGCCCGCGTGCCGTGCGATCGGTGAGGACGGTAGGTTGTATATTCGGCCAGTGTTGTTCCATCGGAAGGTTTTCCTTCATTTTGAAGGTTTTTTGATCTATCGGAAGGTTGAAGGAAGGTTTTTGAAAATGAAGATTTTTACTAGTACGAACCACGAATCACTATTCGGTAAAAAGAAATTATCGGTTTGCGTTCCAAAACTACTTGAATAACTAAAATTTATATTTTACGTGACGTAAATTATAGAATGTTGGTTAACGTTGATATATTTTGGAACGCGCTCTTGCGCAATTGGCAATACTGGGATTATAATTGAGAGAGCTTTTCATATTAACGGATTTATTTAATATTTGTTGCGCCGTTTAAACATTGATAATGGTCTGAGTTTGATCGAAACGTACGTCTGTTATTGCTTTTATATTTGCGCGAAAGATTATATATTGTATTGTACTTCTTCGTTTTATTTACTTCACATACCATCTATTTTTATAAACTTAGATTATCAGACTCGTAGCCCTATTACTTTTACTAATTTATTAAGATATTGGACGAAGAAAGAATATTGAATAAAAGACTCATATCAGAAATGATTTTTATTTAAAAACAAAAAAATAGTTTAAATATACAATCAGACACGAATTTATTACACAAAGCTTATGACAATTTATTTATTAACAGTTGGTATGTATATGTATGTACACATGTATATGTTCGTCTTTATTGGTTCATACGTTTTTTTTTTATTTGGTAGTTCGACGCGATCGGTGCTGGTTGAAGGTTTTTGTGTACAGATGAAGGATTTTTGCGCATGCGCGGAAGATTTTTCAGTAACCCGATGGAACAACACTGTAGTTGCTTTCCATTTACATACAAGTGAAACTGAGTCTGAAGTGAGCTGAGCATTTTATACTCAGATTAATGACGTCACTACTTGCTTACTTTGGTAAAAAGTTATCACAT